GACTTCCTTTCATAGATGGCAGTGGTTCCGTGCTCTCCTGTAAGCCTCTAATCCCTCTGTCGCCATCACTCGCCCATGCACTGCCCTAGAGGAAGCAACGTCTTGCAAACTAAACCTGCAGGTTTCGTGTTGTGTGTGTAGTGCAGGATTCCCGGATTAGGCTAAACACACACTTTTTATTAACCTTGGGCACAGCACTTGGTGTGGTGTGTTCTGTGTGTGTGTGTGTGTGTGTGTGTGTGTGTGTGTGCATGTTTAAGAAAGACAAGTCTGTTCAACCTCAAAGGAGCACGTTCGTGTTTATCTCAGTCACTCTTGATGGTTGCTTACTGAAAGTGAACTGCAGAACAAATCACTGTCCGTGTGTGTAATTGTGAGTTTGTGTGTGTGTGTGTGTGTGTGTGTGTGTGTGTGCGTGCGTGTGTGTGTTTGCATGCATATGAGCGTTTGTGTATAGCTGTTGGCACGGCGCTGTGTAGTTAGGACGCAGGCCAACTTTTTCTGCTGGAATTTCCTGTCTGAATTGAGCACCCCCACCTCTCCTGCTCCTCTGCTCTTCACTTTCCTCTCTCTCTCTGTCTCTCTCTCTCTCTTTCTCTCTCTCTTGTGCTCCCCTCCTCTCCTCTCTGTCTGCCCTTTTCTCTCAAAGCACGACAAAGGCTTTTTTCCACAAAATTATTCCTGGCCTGGCCCGGCCCGGCCTCTCAGGGCATTATTATTATCGTTGAGTACTTCCTAGTAGACATGAGCCCTCTCCACTCTGGGCTGCAGCACGGTCCTGATCCGGGGCTTCATTTGGACATAATGAGAGAGAGAGAGAGAGCTTTTTTCTTCTTCTTTGTCTGATTCATGAGACTCGTCGGGGCCTTTGTTAACATCGAACACCTGGCATTGTCTTTAGGGAAAGATCAAACCAAAGCCTTAAGATGCGAACTAAAAAGGAGAAGATGTGGCGCTCTTACCCTGCTGCTTGGCAGGATGTTTGGCACGTCTGGAGCCTCATTATGGGGGCTGGGGGCGAAGATATGTTCAGCTTTAAAACAAACACGTTATGAGAGATCAGAGCAGATACGGCGCCTGAGAACGACCACCAGTAAAAGGTTCCTGGGGGCTGGATTGGTTTATGATATAAGATTACTCCCGATACAAAAGCCCCTCAGTGCACAGGGCACATAACTGCAGCTTGAGCCGCTGCCATGATTAACAAGATGCCTTCGATAAAATGTAGCCGAACTGAAAGAGCCTTCATTAATAGTTTACAGGATTTCCTCTCTAAGCTAGTGATCTTCTGGGGAAAAAATGTAGTGTCTTAAAATCTTATGTGTATATGAGATAAATCAGCTGGTTCTCACCACCAAGTGTTCAAACACAGGAGCTCAGTCAGAGAAGCACAATGCCTCATCATATATGACATTTAAGATACTTATGGCATCATTCCTGGATGCTGTCTTCATAGGGGGGGGGGGGGGGGGGGTTGGTCCTGGATAAACAGCAGTGCAAATACATAAAAGAAATACAGGACTAAACTTCTGATTCCTGAGTGGTACAAGGTCAATGTGGACGTCTCTAAAGACTTGATTTCTTTTTAAGGAACATAAACAATCTAGTAACAATGCAACAGTGTGTACGTGATAACTTAATAATGCTCAAATCATGAATGGTAGTACTTAAAATATAATGTTTACTTTGAGAGTACATGCCAAGTAGATGAAGGTCTGAGCACCCGTTTCTCAGACCAAAACAAACTTCTCTCTGGTCGTGTCCCAGAGTGTTCCTCCTCCCTTCATGTGAGTCGAGTGCAGCAGTTTGTAAGACTTTCTAGCCCACAGGTGATTGGTTGATCTTTTTACCTTTTTTTTTTTTTTTTTAAAGACCAATGAAAATCTTCTTCCGTTTGTCTGTCTATTGTTTCTACTTCAGTTGTACTCTTGCGACAACACTCAACCCGTTTACCTCTACAAACATCGTCCCTGAGTGGGCGGAGCCGTTTCTCTTCCCCACAGTGGAGAGGGAGGGGCTAAGAGTTGTCGAGGGAGGGGCCCACACACAAATAGACAAAACATTCATGAACGAGCTGTTTATCAGATTCGAGTCCTCTGTCTGGGGACTGTAAACACAGTGTTGAGAACAACAAACCCAGAGGGAGGTTTGACTTCACTCCAGACTTCAGTATGTTGCATATTTTTTCCCAACTCGGACGATGTTTTATTAAGTGTTGCATTTCCAAAACTCATGTCAGCTGTTTCTCAGCAAGCTGACTTTTGAGTGTCCCACCAGATGTTGTGTATTACCTAATGCTTAATCGACCTCATAGTCCTGACACTGCTTTGAAAACACACAAAGGGCTTCAACATAGGAACTGTTTGAGCTGCAGATACTTGATATTTAACTTCCATCTGATGCTCAAACCCTTAACACCAGTCAGTAAAAGTCTTCTGCAGCTTTTTTTTTTTAGGTGTACACAACACGTTGTTTTTCATGTATGCATGTTCTCTAATGGACTGAAGAATACAGATGAACAGTAAATCCAACCAAAAACTGACCAGTGTAATTACAAGTGAAAGTTTGCTCTGTGAAGATGAAAATCTTTAAACATTGTAGCTAGTCAGGAGACTAAACCAACTTTTTACTTTACTATCGGTATTGTAAACAAACTTTTTATTTGTTGTTTACTTCAGAAGCTGCTAAGTAACTTAACAGAAGAAAAGAGTCCTGCAGTTTGACAGTTTAATAGATCAACTGTCCATAAGTCTAAAAGAAGCCAGTGTGTTGGCGTTAGAGGGGCAACCCTGCGGTCTTTGTGGTCGTCTCGTCTCCTCGTCCCGTGCCCTCCCTCTCCTCCTGAGATGTGCCAGGCAGCACAAGCAGGGGGCACCTCTCAGACAAAGCCCCAACTTCTGGCTCCACTTGTGAAACAAAGCTCAAACTCCTTTTCCAGCTCTCACTCCCTCTCACTCATTTACTGGTCGCCTCTTTTGGCTTTGTGGCGCACAAGTTGACTCGGAATTGGCCGCCTGTCTCGCACACAAAAGCGAGGGAGGGTCACTGGCTGAGATCCAGCTGCGTAGATCTTGATAGAAACACAGAAAGCTCGACCCTCTGAGCTCAAAGACGAGAGGAGACGACAGACAGCAGGATTTCACATCTCACTTTGACCTATGCACACCCACAGGCTGGAGGCTTACTTTATGTGAGCTCTTAGAAACGATGATTGTTTACTTATTTCACAAGTGTCTATAATTTCTGTTGTAAAAATTCCTGCATACATTATCCTCAAGTGTTTAGAGACTGGAGACTTTGGGGAATACTTTTAATTTGCGTACAAGTTCTACCACATGAGGTGTTGTTTTGCCTTTGAAAAACTCGTAATTATTTAATTAGAAAGAAAAAAAAAAAACGCGGGTCCTTCACAAAGAAGATTTGTTTTATTTTTGCACCATATTCATGTTTTTTGTCCCCAAAAAAAACAGCGATAAGAATGAGGCAAGACTGCTTCACTCAAATGTCTTCACAGGAATGCATCAGTAATCTAAAGCTGAAGCAGATTAAAGGGGATAAAAAAGTCATTATTGAATTACGCTTCTCCTGCAGGAGTCGAATGTTTCACAGGTCAGAGCTGCCTTCAGGGGAACTTCTCTCCAAAGTCAGGATAATCCCAGCGGAATTAACAAAGAACAAGACGGTACAACGTCACCATGATTACCTCAATCACAATAACAAAAGGCTCAATCAGGGTTAAGGAGCAGTAATGTCTCTCTTTGTATTAGGCATCCCGTAAAAACAACATGCGGCGTTCTGACACAGCCTGCAGGCACACAGTCCTGTTACTTCTTGTTTTCGCAGCGCTGGCTGGAGCGCGTCAGGACCCCTGAGGCTCATCTCAAACGAGACACAGTTCAACAACTGCAAACTATATTCAAAATAAAAACACATGTTGTTATTGCTGTGGTAAAGACAAAACACTGGGCTATTTGAACTGCAAAATTTCGGCCAGAAACAAGGAGTTCTTTGAGCTGCCAGTCATGCATAGCTGTGCTATATGTTTTACAGACTGACAGCATGAAATGTGAACATGAAAATAACATGGGACGCTCAGCTTCACAAATCCAACTTCTTGGTCAGTGACCCCACCCTTCAATATTTCCTCATCCATGTCCTCCTCCGGCATCATTTCTGGGTCCTGTCCTCTAGTTTACATTGGATTTCATTTACAGCCACTTTACAGTAATCACATCTCATTAAATTAAAATAATAGTCCGCCAGTCCCTGTGCTCCTCTGAGATAGAGCTAACAAAGGGTTCTCACTGAGCTCTGACTGTTAACCTCGCTGGTCTCTGCTCTCAGGTCATACCAGGTTTTCTGGACCGGACAGCCGAAGAATCCTGATCTATGCTCTCTGTCTCTGTTCCCCTCACAGCACGTGCGCTTAATATGCTGTCCAGTTTCTGTTTTTTATTTATTTCCTGCGTCGGACATGTGCAGTTTGAACACATTTAACTGGGAAGTATATTAGTAGGTCTTTCTCCTTCAGTCAAGACGTCAAGATGTGTCTTACTCAGAGTCTGTAATGACAGCAATTAATGCAGATCTGCTGTGTTGTTTTCACGAGACTTCCCTGAAGCCTGCAGACCGTTTAATGGCAGGAAATGTTGGATTTGTGCATCCTTTGTCTGACACATAAAAACACACTCATTGTTGTGTAAACCCTGCTTTGTTTGGTCTGAGGGGATAGAGAGCACCATTAATGAAACATTCAGCTCTCCAGGCAAAAGCCACAACAGTGTAAACGCTCTCCATCACTGGTGGGTTACGGGAACTGTAAAAGAGTACAGTTGCGTCTCATGCTGCGTTGCCGGCGTTAGTCAGGATCTTACAGCCTCGTGTCTTCTGTTTTATTTCATGACTCCTTTTTTTTAAAAATCACCATTAAATGCATTTATATCACTGTCTGTCATGCCTCTATTGCTCACCAAACGTTTCTCTCTTCTGTGCCCTCACAGGCGGCCACCACCTCTTCCCCACCTTTCACACACCCATCCCAATCGACATGAGGCACCACGAGGGGCGGTACCATTATGAGCCACACCCACTCCACACCATGCATGGGTAAGTACTCTCTCACTGCGCTTTGGGATCACGGTTTCACTCAAACGCTTACTTCTCTAATGACATGGAGGGAAAATATAGTTTCAAATGCACACATCAAATGTTGTACTTTACGGGGGAAATCGCAGGGACGCTGGAAGTCGAGTTGGGGGTGCTGAGAGAAGACTTTTTATGCAGTGATGTCATACTTTCTGCAGCGCAAACTCGTCTTTTGTTAATTGATTTGAATAGAGTAACAGCAGCTCATACGGCCTCCTGAAGCTTTTAAGTAGAGAACAGACCTCACACCGAAAGTTCACATGCTGCCAACAAGCACTTTATAGTTCAGTGGTTTTCAACTGGTGGGTCAGGACCCAAAAGTGGGTCAGAGAGCTGTTTCCAGTGGGACTGGAAAACAAAAAGTGTCTGAGGCGCACTAAGAACATTTTGGTTTGATTCCTTCTCCTTGTTCTGTTGCATGTTTCGAACCATCTGAGGTCCAAACTGCACTATTTTTCATTCAATCAATCTGAAAAATATCAGAAATTTGGGTCACGATTTTCATGAAGGAGTTGGTGGTGGGTCCTTAGGCTAGACCAGTTGAGAAGCACTTTATAGTTAATAGTTTTTAAAACACAGAGCAGTGAGGGTGATGTGTGGATGCACGGCTATGTAACGGTTTGTAGACAGGTTAGGGACACATGTAAGTGTGATTATTATTACAGAAATACTTTTCTTAAAGAATCACTAAATAGGTTTTTCATAGCAGTCAGTACAGTTTCAAACTTCTTTTCATTCATTCATACACTAAATCCTGCAATAATCAATATATGAACTGAACACAGTGATAACAAACTTTCTATGTGATTGCTGTTTTCATAAAACCTTACATCCCAAAAAAAACAAAAAGAGTCGTCACTTCCTGTTCGTTCTTTGATGCAGTAGTTAAAATGTGATGCAAAATAGTCTTTTAAACTAAAAGCTGATTGCACAGTTTTTTTTAAAGGAGACCCAAAATGTCTTGCAAAAGCTCAGCTTTTTTCTATTGCTTTGTATTTCACTATCAGCACTAGAGCTTCAAAGCTCTTCAGTAACTGAGCCAACTTCAAATACACCGAAGCCTGAAGTCTGAAGAGACAAGCTCACATGAGGGCGATACAACAGACTGTTAACATTTCCAATCCCATCTCCTCTGCTAACGATGAAATGAGGAGCTCTGCCAGGAAAGTCTGCATGCAGTAAATCATCTCTGCAGAGAGACACCAGGAAGACGACGGTGGAGGAAATACAACGAAGCTTCACTTTGAGTGAACAGCAGTAACTGTAGGCGTTAAATGTGGAAAGTGAACCTCTGAAAGTGGACATTTACATGTGTAGTTTCCATGCCAGTCTCATTATTGTTACTGTTTATTGGTCTGGATAACTGGGTTGAAAGTTCAGGCTCTATGTTTAAACTTGTATCCTAACCTGACCTACAAAGAAACTTGTGTATTTTCATACCGAGGTATTAGTATAAAATTCGGGCCCTTCTAACGTCGCCAGGCCTTCTTCTCTTATCTAGAATATTCAGCTCCAGGAAGGGAACCCAGGAGGAAGATCAATAGAGGTTTTGTGAGAACTCTGCTGTTACATTTAAATTCAGCGAGATCAGGTGATACATAGTGTAGGCAGAGCTATTTATCAACCACAAAGAGGCGAGAGAAAAAGTGCGGCCGTGCAGCTGGTTTGTTTTTGATTAATGTGACGCAACTCTGACGGAGTGCTCGCACTAATTCATCAACACCTCGATGTAGCCGTCTCTTCCCCTGCATGCGACGCACTCGCCTAATTACCGAGCGTCAGTCGTCCCGCTGAAGTGGAGCAGGGTGTCGTCGCAGGGCGCTCCGTGGCAGCCGCTGGTTGCTGCTCTGAAGGATCGTGCTCACTTCATACAGACGGAGAGCCCTCCATCACTTTTTGTTTGCGACATAATGCGAGCAGCAGATCATAATGTTATCGTAATGCAGATCGTGCAGTACTCAGCTTTTCAAAGACTTTTCAGTAATCCGGTTGGCCCATGCAACCCAAGTGCTTTGTGCAACCTTTATTACCGGTCTCACCAGACACACCTGTCTCTGGTGTTCTTTAGAGACGTCTTCACCCTCACTGATTATTGTGACATCATTAATGCATTGACTTGTGCAAGACTCTCATAAGCTTAAAAAAAGGCTTTTTATACCTTGTTTTTAGGATCAGCTGTCTTACAAGGAGGTTATTAGTTTGACACCAAATTGCATTAACCTAAATGGAGACTAGCATTTCCATTGCACGTCTCAAGGGAGGAGTGTTTATGTATGTGAAGCTTGAAGCGGCTGGTATTTCTCTTTTAACCTCTCAGACCCATTCTGATTGAGGACAAAAGAAGGTGAACAACTGGTTGATTTTCTAAAGACCTTGCAATCCTCATCTTTTCAGAAGCTGGGACACACACACACACACACACACACACACACACACACACACACACACACACACATATACATGGTTGGAAAGAGTAGTCTTCTGGCATATATGACTCAGATCTAAACACTGCACTGTCACTACATGAAGCATCCTAGCACATGCTATCTTTGTGTTTCAGTAAAGTAGTAATCTTCCCACTGTGGTCTCTCTGCCTTTCAAGAACTTAAGATATGACATGCTTCTTCTCTCAGGAATGCGAACTGTCTCTGGTATTAGGTCGAGCCTTTTGTGGGATTACAGTAGAACTTGGGTTTTGCTGCATGTTGTGGAGTCGGGCATGTTCTTCTTCTTCTCAAACCCACAACCCAGCAAAGCCGGCCGCTTGTGCCAGCATGTTTGACCGGGTAATTAGCATCTGAAATCCAGCCTTCCGTTCCCAGAACCTCAACGACAACGCAACGGATGAGAAAAACAGATCCCCCGCTCATTCCACAGCCTGTATTTATGCTTTTTGGGAAGCAGTCAGGGGGCAAATTGCAGCACTGAAAAGTTGAAATATGCCCAAGGTTTTTGTGTGGCAGGGCTGTGGCCTACACCGCCCCTGTACACAAACAGATGTGGTCCTGCTCACCAGGCAATCAGCCTGTTCAAGGCCCACAGCCCCACAGCAAGGAATGTGTTGACAGTTTACCCATCGACCATTTGGGTCGGAGTTGTTTTTTTCCCTTCATTGTTTTGGTTTGGTTAACATGGAAGGAAAGGGGTTGGAGGTAAATGGAGGGGGGTTGACGACTGGTCGTCAGTGGTTTTGACAGACATGGTGTTATCTTATGCTGGCTCCAGCGCGGCTCAGCGTCACGGCTGAAGTCTGAATTTGGATGCTCCCCTGAGTTAAAGCCAGGAATGTGCTGCTGAAAAGACAAGGGACCCATCCATCAAAAGAGTGCAGAGTTTCAAATCAATAGCCTCAAATTGTCACGGTTTATCACACGGTCTCAAAGTAATTTTCTTTCTCTCAAAAAAGACTAAATGGTATGTGACAGCAAGGGAGCCAAATAATGGATAATTACCCTCTGTATAATCCTGTCTCATTTAAGTGTATTATCCCGTCGTCTGACACAGCTCCACTGGGCCCCTCCTTTGAACACAGTCCTTGCTTCTCAGAGAGTACAGTATCAAGTTGTGTCCAAATCCTCCGCATCCTGATCAGGGCCCCAAAAACAACCGCGGCAGGATCTGAGCGTGTCCCATGTGGGGCAGCGTGGTGATTTATCTTGATCGCCTTGGCTGCCCAGAAGTACAGAAGGGAGTGTGTCACATCATAATTCATCCCACCCCGAGCCAGTAGGGAAAATGCCGCAGAAGCACATTCTGACTCGATGGTCAGACAGGAGGGCAGAGAGGCAGGCAGAGAGGGAGCATGAAGTTTGAGGTGTGGCTTTTACACCTCATCTTGAAAACAGGGCACACAGGGAGCATCATCTTGGCTGTGAAGTTGGATCATTTTTAAAGTCGTCATTTGCAGAAAGAAACATTCAAACTTTCTGAATTCTACCTCAAGGGCCTTTCAGATAGGACGCGGCGGGCGCTGCACGCTGCTCTCAAACCCAGTCACCGTCTATGTGTTGCACCGCGCAAGAGCGTATCTGCACCTCGCTGAGCTAACACAGTTCAAGATCTCGAGAGGTGCAAGATCACTTCTGAAGTACTGCTGATGTACCATTAAGCAAGGCACTGAACCCCAACAGCTCAGGGAGCGGACCTAACCCACTCTGACATCGCTCCATGAATGCATGTCCATAGGTGCATGCTAAAGACTTGACACTGATGATTGAGACCTTAGGAAAAAAAGGAGAATAAAGGCACTTCCCAGAAACAGCCTATGACTAAGACAAGAATAGAAAGATATTTAGAAATCTGTGTAAGATGACATAACTATTTATAGCTAACTGAAATGCTCAGACACTGAACAAAATGTGTCAAAGTTTTAACTGCCTATACACAAATGTGAAGATGAGATAGGGAGATCACATTTTTTCTATAAATCATACCAATCATTTCTGCAATCGGCCCCCACCATCAATCTGATGTACTTGCACTCCGGTATGCACTTACTCATAGGGTTACTCATATGCTAGACAAGCTGTACCATGTCTAAATCACTTTTTCTCACAGCAGAGTTTTAACAATGGAACAACAGAGAGAGCGTGTAATCACACAATACAAAACACAGAGACAAACAGCAATTACCTCGTTCAAACTATGTCATCTACTGACTCGCATGTGGCTTCCTTTTCCCCCTATGTTCCTCCTCAAACATCACTCCCTGCACGTTTATTTGATGGTAATGAAGAAGTTTTGATTTTTAACGGCATGCACGGAGTCTGTTTCCAACCAGGCAGCCACCCATAGCGTTCAGGTGGGATGGAAGCGTCTTTAAATTGCAGGCACTGATTCTGAGAGAGCTTCGCTTTCGGCGTCTGGAAGTGAAGGAAAACACACAGACTTCAAGTAACATCTTGTCAGAAAGAGGGTGGACCGACAGGGCTTCAATAATGGTACCTGCCAGACGCGACTGTTATTTGCAGCCTCCTGACGGGCTACGGCAGTAAATTTCACCTTATTATCAAGGACTCGTAGACGCTCTGTAGTTGTTTGAGTGATTTACTGCAGCTACAGTGATGTGTGTCGACACGCTGGTTTGTTATCGGCCAAGAAACAAATAGCTATCGTTTATGGATAGAGACACACCCGGCACACTGGGCGGGCTTTAGGGGGCCAGGCCAGGACTGGTTCACCTCTTTGCCCCCCCCCCCCTCAGGTTGCATATTGCCTCAGCACCAGCCCCTGCTTACCTCCAGATAATAATTAACACAATTTCTTGTGATCATTAGTATCAGCTAGCATCATAGTAATCCAAAGTTTAGAATCAGTGATGCATGTTCAAACGCTGCCTTTCTCTCTCCAGTAGAACTTGAGTTTGAAACTTGGTGTATATTGGTTTCGCAGAGCTTTTCTGTGTCTTACTGTGTGTTTTTTTTAGTTTCTTTTTGGGGCAATATTTTGGCATCAATTGTATATTGTAAGATGGTTACTACAGAGCCACATCTGGGGGTGACAAAGTGACACCACCTCTGTGCCACCTTCGGAAACAGAGGCGTTAAAGGGGCAAGACAGGATCAGGATGAGATGGATTCAGGATCTGGGTGGATTTTATTCTCTAAAAACAAACATTATAGCCTTATTCAGATGCAGTTTTTTCAGGGTCCTGCACTACACCGGGCAGGTGTTTCATCCATTTATACGACCCTTTAGATTTCATTATGGTTTAATGCTCTAGCTAAATCCATAGCTGGGGTTTCTTTGATGATGTCTGATAAGAAATGTCCTCAGCACCAGGTGCCAGCTTACCCAGGTAGCCCATCAGTGAAACACCCAAGCACTAATTTGAGTTAGCGCTGCCAAGCTCTCTGCCAACCGCTCACAGGCAGACTGAGGGAAGCGTGTTTTTGTGTATGGAGCGTCTGTTTCTTCTCACTTCTCCCCTCATGCCCAGAACAGAGAGCTCTTTATGGCCGTTTGTAGGGGAAAAGACGGCAGAAAGTTGGCCCACAGACAAGACCGACAGTCGGCAGGCCCTTACTGGAAACGGAGCGAGGTTCGAGGCTCTGGGTTGGTTGGCTCGGCCTGAGCTGGGCAGGGCCGGGTCGGGTGCAGGCTAGCGTCTGCAAAGAGACAGTGAATGAGAGACTGAGCAGGGAAACTCTGGAAGGAGGACGGGGAGGGGAGGTTCTGCCAAGCATGCAGGCGAGGTCTCAGACCCAGCCAGAAACTACAACCTGCACCAGTCACACTCACTTCATCAGAATCAAATGATTAGACACTAACACAGATTCCTTGTCAAGTGTGAATTCAAACAGTATACTGTTCATTTTCTTTGAGTGTAACATAGACCCTTATATCCTCATGGTCTTCATATTTAAATACATACCATTCATGAAATATGTTGCAGGCTCATCCGATGTGGCGATCGTCAGATAACCTAATTTTAACACCCTTTTCTAACACACACACACACACACACACACACATACACACACACACACACACACACACACATGCTTTGTACTCGGCATGCAGTGGATACTGCCAAGAATCAAAAAACCACACATAACACTCGTGTGTTCACAGCGGCCAAGAGGCTGCTTACATGTTTGTTACTAAACTCTCATAAAGACAGCTATGCCATGTTTATTTGACATAGTAGTTTTGCATTCAAATGTACTGCCATGTGACTGATCAAGTTGTTTAAAACATTAAAATCACTTCATTTTAACATGAATTACTGATGATTATTGAAGCAAAACAGCCAAAGATTGGAACATTTTGTGTAGAAATGTTGAACTGAAACCTGAAATCCATTTTGAAAGGGGGCTTGAAGGCCGAACATGTTAGTCACTAGTTACTCAGACTCATTTTGTGAGACCCTTCCCTTACCCCCCTTACAGAATCACTGTGAGTCAGTAGTCTGGTCATTTCTGATGAAAGGAGGGATCATCAGCCTTCGTAGTTTCCCATCAACTCTCACCTTCCTTTTCTGGTCCTCTTCTTTTTTTTCCCTTTGATGTCTTCAAGTAACCATACTCCCATGAAAATAACAAGCTTAATTGGTGTCCACTCATGCTGATGAAATCCGTGAGGTCTTTTTCAGGTGTACTTCCAAGCGTCAGATCATCTTTTTTTGTAAAAGCAGGAGACTCCCCCTGCAGGCCAATAGAAAGAATGCAGGTTTAGGTAATTCCACAGACTGTGCTTCATAAAAGTGGACGAAGTCTGAGTGACGTCACCCAGTGGTTTTTGGAAGCCTATCCATGCCGGTTGCCATATTGGAAATGCTGACTATATCAGACTTTCGGTCAACCTAACAGCTAAGGCGGGCTGTAAGCCTCCTGACAAACCGCTAAAATATGGCCGCTTGCAGTCAGATCCGTCATACTCCTAATTACGCATAACACGTATTCTCCATAAAATCAAAAAAGTTGAGTTATTTAAAAAAATCGACCCCTCGTAGAGTGTGTGCTGTTGAAGACAATATGTTTTTATGTACCAGGCTGTAAATACGGCCATTTTTAATATGGGGTGTGTATGGGACTTCTGGGTCTTTTGGAGCCAGCCTCAAGTGGACACTCAAGGTACTTCAGTTTGTTGCTTCATTTTTCAACACCTAAACACTAAAGGTCTTTTGTAACTATGATCAACCAGAGCACACATTTCCTTAAAAAGCACTGAAATCTAAATTTGAACCGTTGCAACAGTAACGATTTATTTCTAAATATTAACCATTGGACCATTTAACCGTCGCTTTATAAGACGTCAGTCCTTCAGCCTTACAGTCTTACTGATTGAGCCGTTTGTACAGAGCGATGGGCTGCTTATCAGGCCTGCTGCACACAAGGTTGACATGCGTACTATACTTCAAAGACTTGTGCCATTGCCAGCGGCCAGTGGGACTTTCTTGTATCTGGAGCGCAGGCCCTCGGGGTTATTGAGAGTTACAACACCCACTTGTCTTCGTTCCTGCAAGAAGAGCTGCCACTTACCTGCCGGAGATGACAAATTTACTGCTCAGCCTGATGTGACCACCGGGCAGTCGGAAAACGTCAGTCCAGACCTCTTCAGGCAGCGTCTGTGCTCTCTTATCATCCAACTTGTAATACCTGTTGTGAGCGAGCCTGTAGTTTTGCCCACCCAAACAGGCAGAACACACTGCTCCTGGTAGACGTTCAGTGGAAAGCCTTTGGTCTCGACTTGTCTGTCGCTGGAGGGCTTAATAGGAGAAGGTGAACAAAAGGGGATTATTATGTATTAGCTTTTAAACTGTGGAAGGGAAAGGGTGTAAGGGGATTGAGACTGTAGACACTTTAGAGGAACAACAGAAGTTAAGGCTTGTCTATGAACATACCGGTGAAGATCATTCATGATGATAACAGAGCACCATCATTTCTTCCTTCCTCTTTATATCACTCAAAATAAATTTGCCTAATTTTTTTTTTTTTACTTTATCTTCACAGACCTCCAGGACTAACAGGCAGCCCAGTCATCTCAGATATTTCTCTGATCCGTCTATCACCCCACGGAGCGCCTGGGTCGGGTGAATCTCCGTTCAGCCCTCCACATCCATACGTCAGCCCCCACATGGAGCACTACCTCCGCTCGGTCCACAGCAGTCCCACCCTCTCTATGATCTCAGCGGCCCGAGGACTGAGCCCTGCTGAAGGTAAGATTCACACCTCATACCAGAGTACCTCAGATTTAATCATGTTAACCGCAACAAAATAAAAAACCATCGAGCTGCTAAATCTGAAAAGCAGCCTGAGCAGCAGTATCTTCTGTGGACAAAATAAAACGAAACGTAAAGACACTCAAAATCTAGGCTTAATGTGTGACACAAAAACAGGCGCACATGTTCCTCCATAAACACTCTCATACCTGTTAGCTTAGGTTATGATCACCATCAGGCATTCACAGGATGGAAACACTCAGCCGCCTCAGTCACTAATGATGTGCGTAAAGTACACAATATGATGGATAAACTGCAAGCGATGTGGAATATTTCGCAGCTGCTCTGACCAGTTAGCATGAAGGATGTGAGATTGGAGTTGAGCTGGTTTATAATTTATGTTTCCTGCTCACTATAAACCGACTCTATCTGCTTGGCTGCAGCTCGCTGCACACACACTTAAGTTTACACAGTTGATTATTTTACCAACAGTGATAATTGCTCTTGCACTTTATGCGTTCCCCTATATAGGGTTCTGAAGCAGACCTTTCATCAAGCGTGTTATGGTGTTTTTGCATGTGAGTGCATGGGTGTAATTTGCAGGTTTATGCTCCGTAGTTGCAGTACTACTCTTCTGCACGTTTGTACTAATGTTTGGGCAGGAGGAACCACAAAAATTAGCTCAGACAGCTAAACATAAGGCAAAAGTTCACATGGCAGACTGATTTACGCTCGTTCAAACAACATGCTTGAAAGGCGAGGAGCCACAGGCCTGCACCCGTCACCCAAAAAATCAGCAACAAACACACTTTGTGCAAATGCCTCTCGCTTTTCAGGAGAAGCAATGCTGAAGAGATGTTGTAGCTGATAAAGCGGCAGGGAAGTATGGCACCAAGTCTGGCACTTTGCAGCTCTGCAGAACATAAATAAAGTCTGTGCAACCAGTAGAGCATGCATAAACCTCTGATAGGGATACCTTGGTGCCAGGCATGTGTTAAAGGTTATTTGTGAAACTATATAAATTACCAACATCCCTTGCATATTACCAATCTCATTTTATTAATTTAATACAACTAGGATTTTACTTTCTACTGGATAGTTGGCATAGAGTCTGTCTATGGTATGTTTTACAACGTCATGAAGCCCATAGTGGAATGAAAAGATATTGTTTTAAAGGGTAGGAGCTGCATGTTCTAATACCTGTCGAGTAAACACGGAAAAGATGCCTGACTACTTGCAGAACAGCATCTTGTGATTGGGCTGAAACAAAAGAGATCCATTGAATGGATTGGCTTTGTATTTCCTGCACACATTAAGAGTCCACAAAGGCGGATTACCTTCAACTCTAGAGATCTCGACTCTACGTCTGGCTCCAGCAGAGGCAAAGTCTTAAATTGAAATATAGTCATGGATTAGAAATGAAATAGGTACAGACCGTTATGTTCCTTTGAGAATCTTAAAAAAACGGAAGTCGTTCGATAACTTTATCAAGACTCATTCAAATATTGACGCTTTCACCGCCAAATAGGAGGGCTCTACATGCAGAATGGAAGGAAGATAGAGAACATGAATGGGACTCCAGTCTCAGAGTAGGATGGTAAATCGGTTTCAGTTTTAATGGTTTCCAATCTTGTGAAGTGTGACCCTGCATGATAAGCAGTCATTTTAAAATGTTAGTCTGTCTAAAACAATCGTACGATTAGAGATGTCATATAAATATTCATACAAAGAGTTGATTTTTCCATTGTATGGTTGATGTAAAATGGTTAAAAACGGTGAACTTGATTCCTGCATGGTGGCATTGTCAGCATATCAGCGCAGTCACTTCTATCGCAAACATGAGGCTCAAATCATTTTCTTTCTCTCTGAAACTTCATCAGGAAAAAAAATGGATACGCTTTATTGGACAATAAAATAGTCTCTGAATCAAAACAATGAAGTAGTGTTCATAGCATGGTAACATTGCTATTTGCTGATGAAAATAAGAACAATTCAAAAGAACACTGCATCACATTTAACATAAACAAGCTGAACTACATGGGGAGTTGAAGCTCTTTACCAGAGAGACTGTCTGGTGTTTCAGGGACCAGTTGGAGTGTGGCTGCTTTTTCTCATCTCTCAAAGTGAGGTCACACACGCACAAACCCTCAGACACCAAATGCTTCTCTGCAGAGGGGGGTAACGTGATCTGGCAGCCATGGAGAAACCAAAAGAATATCCCTGGGTTGGTGCTGCTGGAGCACAAACACTCTGACTGTGCTCTGTTACTGCAGCCATGGCCTAATAGGTTCTGATGGGTCCAGATTTGTGGGTTTCAGTGTGTGCTCATGTCTATGTGTGAAAGGGGGGAGGCTGGGGTTGGCTCCCTGGATATCCAATTTGGCCCAAAACTCAATGATCCCAACCCCCACTTTCCCCCATGTTTCCACCAGCGTGCATAGTAATCCAGCAATGGCCCACACCCCCCTATTCACTGTAGGAGGGAGGGGAGGGCAGGAAACAGAGGAAAATGGGGACACAGTCACAGTTAGATGTAGTAAAAACTAATCATCCAATATTTCACTCTTATAGCTCCTGACATTTTTAAATGTGGCTTTTCTAGCTGCAGGTGTTAACACATTTTACGTCATTATTACCATTGCATATGCAGCGCTTAAGGCTTCCTTTGCATGTATTTGTGTGCGTGTTCTGCACCTGCCCTCTGTGTCTTCAACTTGTCAACGTGCGTACAAAACAGCAGTCATTTACAGGAATGTGGTATTCCTTTCCACTGTACCCCCCTCCTGTCTGCGCCATCTCTCCCTCTGCTTCCTTTACTCCCTGGAGATATTTCCCCATAACCCAGCAAGCCTCAAAGACATCAGACATCTTTAATCAAACGCCTCATGCCCCGGGGCATGCATGCAGGCATGCACAAATCCTCATTTCTGTAAAGCAGGGCACTCGTCTCCTCTGTTGAGTCCTTCTTACAACCTTTCTCTCCTTCATCATAGAGAAAACCAAATCTAAATGTTCCCACTTGATATGTCAGATATGATTAGCTTTACTTCACCAGGAAGCGCCAGAGAGAATAATGAAAATATCCTGAATGCTTGATTATGAAAATGAAATGATCAGAAAGTTCACTGAGTTTTCTTTCACCCATTTATCCCTGCAGTGACGCACGAGCACCTGAAGGAGCGTGCCCTGTTCAGCCTTCCCCCTCCACCACCTGGAGCCAACCCCACAGAGTACTACCACCTGATGGCCAGTGCCAGCCAGAGAAGCCACTACGGCGACCTGCTGATGCAGAGCGGAGCAGCGGCGGCAGCAGCGGCGGCTGCTGCAGCTCATCTACCAGATTACATCAGTCCTGTGGACGGTGAGGACAAAACTTCTTGTTTGGTTGTTTTGGGAAATACGAAGATTCAAGAGATTCAGTGGCCTTGCAGCAAAAAAAAATTGGACATTTGATTAACATAGACGCTGTAATGTAGAGCATATTAAATTACCCACATGATATGTGGGTCAATATTTTGTCTTAAGGTCAAAAATATCAAACTTCCATCCCAGGAATACCAAAGCACATGCATGTCTTTCATCCCTGGTCTATGAAGAACAGCCAAACTTAACAGCCACGCTGCCCTTTGTTCTCAGCACCAGGCGTGTTGATACCATCCTCTTATTCTTCCTCTGGAGGTTTTTTTTATGCTAGAGTTCCCCACATCAAAGCTGGAGGAGCTTTTTAGACTTACACGTAGCATGGGGGCTGCGGCGAGCTGGGGGTGTAGGGTGCATAAACACAGAAAGCCCTGAGGCCCGGAGATCGTAAAAACATGTGTTACTCTGGAGGCTCTGGAGGTGTTTCAGGTGTTTTATTCTCTTATTAAGAGATACATCCTGCAAAATGAAAGTCTGAGTTACTGTAAATGGAATACATCAAGAGTGGTGTGAGGTGGAGGACTGTTACTTTTAGACTTTTGTGTGTCGAACAGTTAAGGCAGGGATTAACTTGGTGTGCTGTCCACTTAATGGCGGGGATGAGGCAGCTTAACACACACACGCACACACATTGGCACACAAAAAAAAAAAAAAAGCCAGGCAAATAGGCAGGCAAATGCTCACAAACTCGTACATGTGTTTGCACACACACTCACAGAGGCCAGCCTGTTCTTTCATGCCAGTTAGAACCCGGCGGCCCTCTATCAAGATGACGGTCAGGCAACAGAACAGACGTTTGATTTCAGCATCCAAGAAACCTTCAAGCCCTCATGAATGGGGAACAGAAAGCGCACAGAGTGGAAAAGCGTCCGTGAAAGTCAGCCTTTTCGATGGCTGATAATCAAATACTCCCCTTGGCACTGATGCCCACTCCGCTCCTGGAGCCCTCTCTCTTTCTTTCATCCCGTCCAGCCACCCACCCAGAAAAAAAAAAAACACTGCCTTAATGCTCTCACTGCTCCAGTGTCACGCTCTTTAGAGCCACTGCATGACACCCATGCAATCATGCATCCTCACATACGGGTAGAAGAAAAACTGAGTCAGATTTGTTAGGGTCGTCAAAAATGCATTTTCTTCAAAGAGATACAGTTAAACAGTTATCATGTTAAATGAGTCAGTATGTCCATCACTCTCTTTTGTAAACCCTCTCAGCTGGGTATGACATGCACTCAATAGCAACAGGACTGGGAGTCCAGACCTGCAGCCAGTACAACAAAGACTGCAGGCCAGACTAGCTGAGCTAAACAAGGGCAGCGTTTCACTTCTTTCTAAGAAAGCAGTTTGTTACAGTCTTGTTGATTCCATAATGAGACCTTTTGTTGAATTGCATTTGTAAAAACAAGCTTCATTTCACACAGATCTCTAGTAGTGTACACACACTGTCCACAACATTGCATTTGCACAAACTTGTGCACTCTTTTCTCTAACTGGCATTTGTTCAAGCATCCTCACACACAGGTAAAAGAAAAACTAAGTCAGATATGGTGTGGCTCTCCGTTCAAAAAGAGACCTCAGGGTGGCAGCTGCTGGTAGTCTTTTATTTAAGATAATCCTGATTAAACAGATCTACAAAAACATACTGATAACTTGATTATTTTTTCAACATTAAGCTAAGACAGTGAATCACCTTTCACATTCATTGATGACGTCTTTATATTTTCATGTCATCAAAAATATTGTGAAAGACAAAATGCACAAGAGATCACTGTTTGCAGTCTTGTTTTAAGTTAAAATCATATTACTGTGAGATTTATTACGGCAAAATAAACAAGACGTATAAAACTTCAGCTTTTGCTAATTTTAGCGATATGAATCATTCAAAGATACTCCAAGAAAAGGCTTCACAACGGGCACCAATGGAGACGCTTTAATTCAGTTGTCATTATTTTCTTCTCATGAAGCATATTTAAAGAAAAAATAAAGAAAAGTGCAAATTTCAAGTAATTGATGGAGAGCCTGTGATTATTTTTTGACATTAGCTCAGGTTGTAAATGGTAAATGGATTTGAGCTTATATAGCGCTTTTACACCGCATGTCACACTTACCCATTCACACCCTTCCACAAACTGATCACTATGTAGTATTATCCATCAGAAGTAACTAATCCCATTCATACACCCCCGAATTGCCTCCGCTGCTAAGGCGGGGGCAATTCGGGATCGGGGTCAAACCCTCGACCTTCCGGTGACGACAACTCTACCAACTGAGCCACAGCGCGCCCGTTGTACAGATACTTTCATTTGAAGATGCACCAAAACAAATGTTAGAATAAAAAGAAATACTGTTGTGTGCGAAGAGTTCAAAGGGTTAATCTTTTAAATGATCTCAATCACTTAGGTAAACACAGTGGTGCAGAGTGAGGGGTGAGGGAGGGTGAGGAAGGGTTAGAGGCCCAGCACAAACTGTAGACCACCTCTTTCTCCTCCCCCTGCTTTCCCCTATTTACTCCTCTACCTCCAACCCACCTCAGTGACCGCCGCTGTGCTGCCGTGCCCACACTTGTTTGCCAACGCTGTTTGCTCAAATAGCCACAGTCCCCCCCCCTCTCATCTCCCTCAATCCCCATTGCAACCTCCACACTTGCTGCCACCATCCCAGCAGCTTTTATTCAGTGTTCTACCCATGCTAAGAGTGATGTGGTCAGGTTTTGGGCCACTCTGCCAGTCTGGAGGCTCTTCCATTGCGGCCTGCAGACACAGGGCCCGTATTGACCGAGGCGGCCAGCTAATGGTCATCGCGGGCAGCCCCGGCCTGAATCAAAAGCCTCATTTACTGCCAGAGGAGGAGAAGGAGGAGGCAGAGGAGGAGGAGTGGCAGAGGTGGCAAATATGTGCTTCATCCCCTGCCGTTTGCTTTGGAAGGCAGTGCAGGTAAACCCGTATTAAAAATCAATTTATGCACTAATATTCAGGAGACCCACCGCAAAAACTAGAAGCCCTCAGTGAACCCTCAGTACGCCTCCTCACACCCGCCCTCCTGTTTTCTCTCTGCATAAGTCAAGGCTTACTGTTGAACCATGAACCTCTGAATGCTGCTGTGAAGAAGTTCGCTGGTGGAAAAGTTGTGAACAGAAGCGTCAGTAAAGGTTTATTCGACGGAGCTGCATGTCTTAGGGTTCCACTTGTGAATTTGAGGATTTACTGCTGTGCAAACATCAGGTCAGACACTTCAACACTGGAACCTCTCTCCTAAATATGATGGAGATCAATTGAAAATGATGCATTGAACTTGTTTAAACTCAGAACTTCCTTTCATTTCCCCATAAGTATATATGTACCCTTAAATAGAAATCAGTCCATCAGCGTGGTGCATTGTTGTGGTGCAACTTTCTTGCTGGGTTTCTCCACACATAGAATGTGATGGACAGGACTGCTAGACAAACAAAATCTTCCCAGCAGTTTTAAAGACCTCCCCGAAATGCTTCGCTGCTTCTGTAAGTCAGTGCTGGTCTGCATGCCGTGTTTTTCATGCATTCATCGCTGTCCTTATCTGATGAGAGTGACATGGAGTCTGAGAGGAGCAGGCTGGTCTATAACAACAAAAATGCATTTGCTTCAATGAGATACTGCTAAACAAACATTATTCTCAACAAGTCAACATGTCACTCTCTTCTCTTACTTGTCTTGTATTTAAGTGAAATCTCTCGGCAGGTTTAAAAATCTCGTTGATTCACAAACACATTAGCCTTGTGTTGCATTTGTTGCCTCCTCCATTAGTGTCACTACTACACACAGTCAGCCTGAGTACAAACTTGCACACTCATTTCTGTGCAGTTGTTGTCATTGCTAATACGTACACCTACCCCATGTTACTTTTTTTATGCCATCTAGGGTCAAAGGAAACATTTTTAGAATAAAGATGACAAGACATTACTCTTAAAAACACAATTCATAGTTATCTGATAAATTTAAATCTAGAGCAGGAAGGTTACCCAGAGTGGAGGCGTTTCTACCTCAGGGACAAGGGTCTAATTTAAGTTCAAGGGACATTATTTTAGAGAGAGGGTCCCTGCTCGGGGGATAGTACTTTCCAAAAGTACCCGGACTTCAGGGATGGAGGCTTACAGTACTGAACATTTACGATGAGGTCAATTAATTGCGATTACCCTCTATGCTCTTGTTGTAAAGTTACACCTGGTATTTGCATTTTCCTTACGTCAGCGGACGACTCCACAGCATATTTTTGGGTCTTAAGGCCAGGCTGGAAACTAAATGCATGTACGGGCTGCAGGGACCTTTTGGTAATTTACATAGTGCCAAGTTCTGAGAGTTACAGGAACTTTGTTGGCAAGATTTGCAATGCATCTTAATTTTACCTTTAGTAAAACCTGTCACTTCTCTGGTCTCTTAACCCTGATAGATGTCAAAGAAACACTAATTCAAACACGAGTAAAAACATTGAAGCATTTAAACTAGTACACCACACAGGACGCTAGTGTAGATGAAGTTACATTTGATTCGATATTTCACATTGGGAGGCATTCAGGAGTCTGTTTGTTTGCGTGTGAGCAGGTATGTACGGGGCGGGTTGGCAGAGAAATATCAGAGCAGTTTGTTGGAAAACGCTGAAGCTCCCACGACAAAAGCAGCGGCCAAAGTAAATGTCTGCCATCCCGAGGAAAAAGATTTCAGTGTTGAATCAGTGGAGGGGGGGTAGGCTGATAGATTTGTGTACTGATGTGGTGGTGGGGAGCGAGGGGGATCGAGGGGAGGGGGTTGGTCCCCTCAGACTGCACACACAAACACTTAACTATATGTTTTTTCACCAGCACATGGGTGGAAGTGTGTGCATAAACACACTGGCAAACACTACGGTGGCTTTGGGCCCGACACTGGGGGCTCATAGAGGATTCAGTGCGAGTCCCCTCGCTAATAAAATTCACAGTGTTAGCATTAGTGAGATTTAGCAGGGAAAATAAACATTTTCACACTCAAGGCTGGCTGGGGGAGGGGGGGGGGTTTAGGCTGGATGAAGATGTTGAGGGTGGCGCTGCTGGCACAAAATCAAGCTGTGGTGTAGGGGGGAGGGGGAGGGGGGTGTCCTTCATTCATCACAGATTCAAGGTCATCGTGGTTTTTCTGACTGCATTCACCACTTTTGGAAAGAAATTACATTAATTAAAAGTTACATTAATATTCATTCACCAATAACAGCATGCACACGTTTGAACAGTTATTGGTAACAAACTAAAGTTCTACTTTTATAAAAGTTGATTTCTGATTAGGGCGGCTGCACGATTAATTGCAAATTCATCATTATTGCAATTTGAGTTTGCCCAGTAAATGCATTACAGCAGGCTGAATTTATTCGGTATGAAAGTTATTTTAATGTAAACTATAAATGCTCTCTCACTCAGCATGTGTAGATTTCACCCACTGAATGTAGGCCTGAGTATAACGTCCATGCTTTGACATCATTGGGTGCAGTCAGATGAAACACAAGCTCACTATCAGCTCCACTCAGATGTATTGGTGCCAATTAAGTGGTGATTCATTTTGTATTCTGGAGTGACATGTTGCATACACAGATCTTTGTCACACAGACACTGATTGTGTAAAATATTTTATTTAGCTGACGGATATTTAAAAAAATAGGTTTCAGCTCATATGCTTTGGTTTATTTTTCACACTTCATATTATTATTGCAATACCGAACAGTGACTGCTTTGATTGAAGCTCTGGTTCTTTAAATGCTGTTTCAACAGACAAGGCAACAGACCGATTTTTCTGCAGAGACTGATAGTGACCCTCCATGTGCTCTGGGTCAGAATGACTCTGAGACCTTAAGCTGCTTCTGGGGATAAGAACAACCCTCCAATTAAAGTGTTTTCATTTTCAGCAGAGATTAAAAACAGCCCATTACTTTTGAATACTATTTTGTCTTTACTCTATGGACGGGCACTGAAGCCCCTGTAATTATAACTCTTTATATAAATCCAGATCCCACAATTAAAACCAGCCCACAATGCAGACACACATTCACACGCATGCGTACGCACACATGCCATATATTGCCACATTTGCTGCGCCACCACGGTCTGTGCAACATCTGTTTTCTCACTCCTTGCCGGAACCTGCTCACCCTTTCAATTAACCGCCGCCCATAAAACACGCCTTCACCCAGTGGTGAGAGGTGTGTGAGCGTGTTGTGTGAAATTTGTTCCAGGTAAAATAAGTCTAGACCAATGACATCCATTAAAACAACACTGAGCTACAGAGAAGTAGCTTAGCTTTTAAAAATCTTAATATCATAGACCTCTAGGTCGTAGTGCTCGAGGCCTAATGAATTCCTCTGAGCGGAGGTTGATGTATAGTTTGCAGGGGTGGTGTTTGAAGTCATTGGGGGCGGGTTTTTTTGGGGGGGTTTTGGGCACAGGGCCCAGAAGGGTGAGGCAGGCGCCAGCCTACCAGGCAACTAGGCTGTGAGGCCTGTTTCCTGCTTTATAGAGGGGAATATTAATACACTTATCTCCTATTAAATCTGTTGGCAGAGCAGTACGCTTGCCTCATTTATAAAAACAGCAAATCCCAGCAGGAGCAAGGCACAGCCAGAATGAACTCTTCATTCATGATGATCCATGCTCCCAAGTGAATCCTACTTCTTTACTCCATCCATACTGTTCTGTACAGTAAGATGACACATTTATTTATTAGCCATTAAGAGGCACATTCCTGAGGACTGTTTGTTGTTTCTGCCAACTCTTTTATTCACATCTTTATCATCTCCACCAGTCTTTTTTTTTTCTTCCTGGCCCCCAAACTACTGTCGTCTGCCGTCTGAAGTTCCCGGGGGCCTTTTAACTAAGTGCATATGCCTCTGCTTTACGACTCGCCACCTCCAAACATAATAGTTTTGGAAGTAAGACCCTGGTTTATGGCTGTAGGTCTGGCCTGGTGATTATTGCGGTGCCTGGATTCATTTGGCTTGAGGGTTTTAGAGCTCCACCAGCCAAATGTGGGGGATTGGATGCACATTGACAGCAGTGGAGGTGACATGCTGAATGTGTGTGTGTGTGTGTGTGTGTCTGTGTGTGTGTTTGTGTGTTAAGGTGCACAGTGCATGTGCTTAGGTGACTTGTGATGGGCCTATTATGAGTTTCCTGCCTCTCGCGCCTCTGATGATGTCGGCTGTATGACCTAATTACATATGTGCAAAGACACACATGGCAGCCCTGCTCTCTGTCCCCTCACACTGAGAGGCAGCACCTGTTGATCCCAAGAAAACAATCTGCCTCTCTACCTGTGGTATAGTGGGAACAAAGTCGGGTAAAAAATTACAGACGTGAAGCCACCAATTTGTTTGTACACAGCCTCTTGTGTCATTGTCTTGTTTTCTTTTTTGGACACAGACATGACCATATTTGGACAAAAGGGGGAGGAGCTGGAGAGGAGCGGATTTTGGCAAATGCTAAATTATCAAAGCTTAACAGTCTGAACTTGTGCCTTGTTGATAAATTAGCTAGTTGTCCTAATTCTTACAGATAGCAGTTTGATTTGTGGCGATAGCTTACTGACGTTATTTATTTGTTGGACCAGAAGAGTTTGTGCAATGAGTTCAACATAGCTAAAGATCAAGCATCAGTTGAACACCACTACAAGGTTTTTGCTCTCTGACAAGCTGGAGCACAGACTTATATGGCTTGTTGGTTCAATAAAATCATGAGCAATCCATACAAGATGTCCAAAATGTACATGAAATAATATCTAGACGGCACCAACTACTCAAACATGGCTAAGAGGTTCAGCTCATGGACTGAATTAGATGAGTAGACAACAAGCAGAAAGCTAGCTGCTTGTAGCTGTTACTCAAAGACACAATGCGTAACTCTAAGGCTTAATATCATTTAAATATGAAAGTTAAATACTATATAAATTCAGCCCCCAGACAGGTGTCATGTATAGAGAAATTGGTAACAGGACCTTATCTGATTTTTGGACCAGTTTGTGAACATGAGCAGCTTTTTAACATAGCGCTCTATGGAGATCGACTCGCGTTTGAAGTCAGCCCCAAGTGGCCACTCAAAGAACTGCAGTTTATGGTAAGGCTGCGTTGGCTACCATGATTGCAGATTGAGTGCTACATGCCTTGGTAATTTCAAATAAATAAATAAACACAAATGATGGACAATAAGTACGTAGAGAAGGTATATAAATTACCTTCTCTTCAATTTCATGGGAAAGTATTCGCCCTGCTCATTTTCTTGCGCTCATTTACCACATCAATAAGAAAAACGTGCAACAGTCAGGTCTAGCAGGAGGCCATGAACCCTACCTTTGTGAGGCGGCCTTGTCCTTTTCTAATGGTATTCTGAGATCAATTTGTTTAAATTGCCTCCATTTAACTTTCCCGAGAACAGCGGTCTGAAAGAGATTACTATCGCGGTAATTACTGAGAATGATTGGAGGCGATTCATTATGCATAAGAGGACGTGAATGCTAAATAGGAGCTGTGTGTATGTGTGTGAAAGATGCAGAAGATAGAGTGTAGCTTAGCTAGCTGTGACCTTTGCTATAGTGCTCCAGGCTGAACATGGTCCAGGATAACCAAAACAACATAGAACGAAAGTACGAGGAATTTACACATATTTTCTCTGATCTGGTTAACTGCAATGTATTACAGGTTCTTAATAGTGTTTAGGTCATCATATATACACTCATAAACATAAAGGTGGCTTTCTTTTGAGGGTAACAAGCCAAGATAGCTGACATTGTCTCCATTGTGTTTCTTTGTCTACAGTATCACGTTTCTCTAGCCCGCGTCTGACACCCCGCCTGAGCAGAAAGAGGGCGCTGTCGATCTCCCCGCTGTCAGATGCCAGCATCGACCTGCAGACCATGATCCGCACCTCGCCCAACTCCCTGGTGGCCTACATCAACAACTCCCGCTCCAGCTCAGCGGCCAGCAGCTCTTATGGGCACCTTTCAGTCGGAGGCATCAGGTAGATGCACGTGCACAAACACACACCTTTACGTTGAGCAGCCAAAAGATGCAGAGACTTTTCTCATGATTGTGGGGTTTGTAGACAGACCAGGGACACATATTAGAGTTAGAGAAAAACATGGTAGCGGGTATTTTGCAGAATACGTGACCTTACATTAATGAGCTGCATGGATAATTTCATTCTTCATTAACACGATAACAAGAAAATGTTTACTAAAGCCTTACATAGCTTGGTAAGTCAAATGTTAGGGTCCAATGTGGTCACAATAAGACATCTTGGTGCCTGATAGTGTCAGTTCAACACTAATGTCATTCAAGTATAGGCCTAGCCTCTAAATATTTAGAACTAGACATGAGTCTCCATGTTTTTCCATGAGGTAACTGCTTTCCTTTCTCTCTCATTCAGCCCATCCTTCAGCTTCCCTCATCCCATCAACCCTGTCGCCTACCAGCAGCTGTTGTCCCAGCAGAGGGGTCTCAACGCCTTTGGCCACACACCACCTCTCATTCAGCCATCACCGTCTTCCTACTCTGCTCGCCAACACCATCTCACGGTCTCGCCGATGTCCACCTCCCACAACAGCTCCAACTCTGAGGCAAACCAGGTATGAACGGGGGCATTTGTACTCTTGGAATGTGAAACTTGTACACCAATGAAATTAAGAAAGATTGAATGTTTTCTACCTCAGATGTCATTTATATTCATGTTTAGGAAAGTTTGATTTTTTTTTTTTGTGCTACCAAATGGATGATTCATTTCATTTATATTGATTTCTGATCAATGTGTACACCTGTAATGGAGGATGGATTGGTGGATGGATGGATAGCTAGATGGATTACATTTTACTGTTACAGCAACTACAATTACATTCAAGAGGCACATATAAACAAGACATTAAAAGTACTTCAATGAGTTTTTTAAACTAGACTCAACAGTCACGGAACAATACAAACAAACGTCCTTATTCAGGGAGGTGTAGCCCATCAACCTCCCTGTTTTACAAATGCTAAATTATGAAGTCTGGTTTTGAAAAAGTTCAATTGGTTTTTAAAATGATTTAGGGTTGTCAGTCGGACTTTTGGTGGAGGGGAACGTCTTCCCAGAAAACATTATGATTCGGCCTTTTCAACCCATTTCACACCCGTTGGCTGAAGTCATCTACTGGAGCGATTAAAGACTTTAGGTACATCCTGGTCATTCAGACTCCAGCATAAGTTTTTATAGGGCCCAGGTTTAAAATGACAGAAATGATCCTTTATTCCACCTTGAATTGAAAAGTAGTTTTGAATCAAGAATTTTCTTTAAAATTATGAGAAATATACAGCTCAAGTCCTGCAAGTTGCAAGGGTCTTTCTTTATCAGGACACTGTTTGCACCAAGACAACTTGTAATGTAAACTTCCCACTCTCTGCGCTGCTATCAGCAGTGTTTCAACACAGTGTCCACTGACAAACACCAGCAGTATCTCAGTATTCCCGCCTGAATCGTACACACTCCTGCACTAAAGAATGAGACACACCCAAATTCACTAACACACGTTCAGCTTTATTTCAACAGTGATCAGAACCACATTTCCCTTTTGGTTTACGGCCAACTGTATGAATCATTGAGGCCCCCAGAAGTGCAGAACTGCAATCTACCGTCTGGGTGGGATTAGGGGACCCCCCTCTAATATTGGACCCCTTCCAATGAACCTCTATATTCACACCCATACACAATAACTCATCAGCTGCTTTACATTTTATATTTCTCTTATTGTTTGCGTCTAGTATTGCTTTTAAAGGCCTTGTGTGTCATTCTGTCGTCTTAAGAATCTGTAAGCAAATCAAAGCCCCACCCACCCGCAACCTCCAACCCCACCCGCCGACACAACCCCGCACTCCTCCTCCCCAGTACCGAGGGTCATAACTCCCCTTCTTTCATATTTCCTTGTGGCTTAAGGGGGAACATAAAGCAGTCTAAACTGTTTAGTCTCGGCAGCTGGTTCCAGTCTGACTTATGGGCCGGCGATGCAACCAGGACTCCACACATCTCTTCACAGGAGGAGCGGGCCAAAGACAATTGTGTGCTGTCTCTGCCTTTCTCTGCGGTTTAATGAATTGAATTACACTAATAGGAGACTGGATTGGAAGGCTGGTGGATGCATGGATGGATGTTAAGTTTAATGTGTTGCAGTTAAGTCAAAGATTCACTGATAGATTATGAATTACTTGGTTAATGGGTCACTTTTTGTTTCCCCAGAATGTATGTACATCAGCCACTACTTTATTTCTATATAAAGTACATTACTAAATTTAAATGTACACAAGCATTGTGAAACAAGAAAAAAACATCCATACACACCCAAGCAACATTCATACTCACAATAGGACAAACAAAATCCCAAAGTCTGCAATAGTAAATAATTATCTGCATTTATTTGACAGAGATAAAATATATAAAAATTGTTTGGGGTGACATCATACCGTCTCTCGAGTAGAGCAGTGATTTCTCTCTGGAACCAAATTCTTTATAGTATATTCTGGGTTTAGGTCATTATAATACTTTTCACTAAACGTTTAAACTCAAATGTTTGATCAATTGATTGAGATAGAACTTAATAATCAGTCATCACAGCAGCTTCATTACAATATTCAAAATTAAAGACAGGGTTCAAAGATGCATTTGACACACCAAACATTCAGAGGCCCTCAACAAGCTTATATCAGGGTTTAAGCTCCATATTTAATTTTAGGATTGACTGGGATGCTCCATACTGAACTTATTAAAACAATGAGACCCTGTATCTCAGGTCTGATGGTCATGGTTCATATCACTGTTCAGAGTGAAGGTCAGAGACGATACTGTTAGCCAGCCTTTGACTATTTGTGTTAAGGTGGAACAGTTTAGACTTGACAGTGGTTGACAGACACGTGTACCATGTGGTGTTTCAGTACTGTTGGGCACTCAGAATCAATACATAACAAGGATATGTCGCCCCAAAAGATCTCAGTCTTGCAGCTTTTTTAAATTTGTTCTTTTAGAGGAAAACAAATGGTTGATCAGTAGACCCAAATGTTTATAGTATGACACTTGCTCGATTGTTTCATTATGAATGCATTGGGGTTCTATAAGCATCAGATGGTAAACCAAATACTGTTTCCTCGGTTTTCTTTGTGTTAATCTCTAGAGCTTTATTATCACCGCGCTCAGCCTGGGTGACTTAAAGATAATCAGAGATATATCATCTGACTGTCTGTTTTTATCTGTCTTTCAGAATGCCAGTGGAGACCCAGCAGTCAGCAGCACAGTCAACCCATTGATCACCAAGAGGTCAAAGGTTAAAACAGAAGCAGAAGGTCCGCTTCCCATTTCACCGTCGTCTCAGGTAAGAGAATATTCAAAACAAAACAAACCAACACCAGACAAAAGAAAAGAATCTGAAAGTTCTCCAGAACAACAACAGAAATATTCCTGGTGAATGTTCTTTGGGGATCTCCAATGACCTTCAATCTCTCCAGCTGCTTACAGTGGGAAATGAGTCCAAGGCAGTTGCTAATTTGGCTTTTATTGATCATAGGGTTGGAAATAAAAATGCAGCTTTAATCAATGACAAAGGCAAGCAACAACTCATTAGGATTAAGAGACAGATAAGATAAGGGGGATGCAAAACAGTACAGAATGCTTCTGTAACTTCTGGCATGCAGAGTCCGATAAAGGATGTCTGAATTCAAGTCATCTATACGTTTTAACAGCACATCTGCACAGCTGTTCACCCCCTCTGATAAAGTGCTTTCTCTTTTCTCCAGGACCTGGGTGGGGGTATCTTGGACCTGAGTGAAGATCTGGATAAAGATGAGTGTAAACAGGAGCCTGAGGCCATATATGAGACCAACTGCCACTGGGAGGGCTGCTGCAAGGAGTATGACACCCAGGACCAACTTGTACATGTGAGTAATAGGTGCAATGAATGACAAAATCCCTTTACACAGCATGTTCAAGGGGAGATTTTGGTTCTTCAATCGGGTGCTGCTGTTTAGTACGAAAGGTACAGATGAGTAGTGGTGATGCTCCGCTGTTAAACACAGAGGCGGAGGTGTAGACGGCCAAGATGGTGTTGGTCTTAATAGGGGAGCCAGAAGGCCGACACGAGGGCATGACATTTTAAAACATTTGATTTGTTAATAGTAAATAGCTTACCGAAAAAGAAGATGAAAAAAATCACCTGAAAAATGCCTACAAATAGAGAAATGGTAAATGGACTTGAGCTTGTAGAGAGCTTCTCTAAGACTACTCAAAGCGCGTTTCCTTTTGCTGTTCTGGACAGGGTCATCAACATTATAAGACGACTTCAGTAGTGATGGTCATTTCCAAAATTTCCCCTCAGAACCTGCTTTGTGTGAAAAGAGAAACGCTGTAAGAAGTCTTCTCCTGCTCATTAAAGCGGTGCTGATTGAGTCTGCTCAGAAGCTGTCAAGTAACGGATCCCTTCCTGTTCGGTTGACACGCGCAGCGTTAATGAGCGCTGCCGGCTCTCGCCAAATTCAAACACAAGCCCCTGCAGCTGTGCCCCTGCAACCCCTTAGCCCTTTGACCCCCTGACTCCTAACCTCTCGCCCCCAGAAAAGCACCCCCAACCCCTGAAGCCCAGAAGGCCGGCCATAAATACATTGTCATGCCAGAAGCTCTGGAGTTATGGAACCTCACGCTCACCCCTTTTTTTCAGACAAACTTTTCTTCTTGCTTTCTCCTCCGTGTGTGACTGTGTCGGTTATCTCTGGGCGTTGGTGGGAGGGGCTTATGTCAGGTCTACAGAACCAGAAGCTGATGGGAGGTGCTTGGTGGTTTCGAGATGCAAAAAGTCAGGACTAGAGGAACCTTGGACGACTTTAACCCCAGAATCCAGCTCCCCAGACACAAACTCTGTGAGAGCATGCAGGATCAGTGAGGAGACAAGTGTTGATCAGAAGTTTGAAGGATGGACGAGGCAGACACATTCCTAAATCCTCACAGGACCACATGCTTTCTATTGACTATATATAAAAAAAATGAAAAGCAAGAGAAGGAAAGAAACCCAGCAGCAACACCATAAGCACATCCAGGGTTCACACATGGTTCCATTAAAATCAGCAAAAAACAACACACACCTGTGGGTTTTCGGGCTTCCACAAAACCAAACTAATTACATATTATGGATTCACTGCAGAGTGTAACCTGAAAATAGAGGCCTCTGCTTGTTTCCATTCCTCCTCCTTCACCCAAAATAGATCTCAGTAGAATCATCAGCCACCGAGCTTTCTCGCTGGTGGAGAAGTGGCCACATAAGTGCAGCGTTGTGGGTGTGGATGTCCTCGGGAAATGAAGTAGTCCCTGTGGGTGTGTGGATATTTGCATGTGGCGCACGGGATGAGAGTTTTGAAGTGTGTTTGTTCTGAAACACTGTGTGGGTTTGTGTGTTCAGAAAGTGCACAACCGTCTGTAATTTAAGTCATTTGAGTTCATTTAACCTGTTTGAAGACATAATTAAGAGAACTGCAAATCTAAGGGGGGGAGTTCTTAGGAGCCACAGGTCGGATTTAAACCCAGGCCACCTGCTTGGAGGACTAGGGGCGCACGCACCAACCACTAACCTACCGGAGCCCCTAACCAATATTTTATTTAATCTATTTTCACTGTATTTTCAAATAAACTACCACCATACATTTACTATATCACAATTTTTAGCTTCACAAAATACAAACACAACTTTATCCTGGGAGATTTTATGTTTACGTTATCATTTAATTTCTCCTGAAACTACTAGACTAGCAGATACTCCTTCACAGACTTCCTGATGCACCAAACATCAGGAGGATGGAAGATAATAGATAAGTCTTAAAATCCTCTTCCTGGTCACTTTTACTGCGACCTGAGGAAGTTCCTCTTCCTTTAGAAACACTCACACATGAATGCACACACAGGGCCTGAAAAAACAGACACAGGGCTTTTATAGGTTTTGTCTCCTGTTGACAGATGCATAAAAAACGTCAGCCATAATGGATGGTGGTGTCATTCAAAATGTGTGTGTGGATGCACATGGTCACATGAGAGAGGAAGAATCTACTGGTGGGAAAGAAAGACAAGAATTTGCTGACTCACACAAACACACACACAAGCTCACACATACAAACACTCTGTGTCTAGTCCCTGTTTCTACATCGAGCTCATTATCTCTATAACAGAATATATTTGATATTACACTCTGACTGACTTTATTTGAATTGTGTCCTCCTCAGCACATCAACAACGACCACATCCACGGCGAGAAGAAAGAGTTTGTGTGCCGCTGGGACGAGTGTTCCCGGGAGCAGAAGCCCTTCAAGGCTCAGTACATGCTGGTGGTCCACATGAGGCGGCACACAGGCGAGAAGCCACACAAATGCACGGTAAGAATCTTACATCACTAGAAAATACAGTAGTGAGCTGTTAGAAGCAAGTTTGTTAACTAGTGGTATGTTATTATTGGCTTTCCTCGATGAGTGGGGACACGTGAGGGGTGAATAAAGGTCAAATTGGACGCAGCAGATACCAAAGTATTCTGACTTTTTTTTTTTTTAAACTCAGGACCTGGACGTCTTTAAGTCCCCATCCAAAGTTTGGAATCAGTCCACCATCTCAAAGCCATGTTTACATGCCCTGAAGACATTACACTTAGGGCCCGACCAATAAGGATTTTTGGGACCGATGCCGATATTAGGGAGAAATAAAATTCAGATACCGATATACAAAACAATTTATTGTCCCCTTGGGAAAATCTCAAAACTCAAAGTGCTGCCAAACATTCAGCTGCTTCTAGAATCAATCAATAAAAACAATAGAAAAAACACATCTAAACGTTAACATAAAGGCACATACCAATGTGATTCCGGGTCCCAAGCAGTGCAGCGTCATCGGATGTTTGTGTTTATATCGACGATGTCTTTCTCAGCTCTATCTTCGATTTTCAGAAATCGAATGAAATCGATATACACAAACATTTATAGTGTTGATCCCTCAAGTGCAGTTATCAATACTTGTGGAAGTATTTAGAATTAAGATTAATAAAAATGTTTTTTTTTTCAGTTGAACAAAAGTTTATTTATTGGCCAGAACAACAACAGTGCACTGAAACACTCATTTCAATTTAGCAATTCCAAATTATGAATACAAAATATGTTGAAAAATAATGAACAAACTTAAATTGAATAAACTTAGTTATATCGGCACGTAACAGAGATTAAAATTATCCGATACAGGTAGTCACATGATATGATAATATCAGCCTATAATATTAGCCGTATTCAATAGAAATTAACTTGAAACTTGAAAACTAGCCTCTACCCAACAACCCGTCCCTCTACCAGATAAAATGTTGATGTGCTTTTCTTTGTGGTAACAACCAGAGATATTTAACATGTTGATAAATCATGGGGCTTCATTAAAGCTTCATTTGCTGTGTGAAGATCCGATTGAGGATCTGTTTGCTCGGCTTCAAAGCTCGCTCACAGGGTCTTGTGAATGCATTAAAACAGATGACTTATGAAAGAGAGTTAAGGAAGCTGATTGACAGCGTGGGCGTGTAATTAAAATCTGCAGACAAGCAGGGGGTCGCTTTATATTCTCTTCACAAATCCCACATGCATCTTCTTTACCACTCGTTTGTCTTTAAAGGGAGAAGCGTCTGACTTTTATTTCTAATTTCTGAGCTGCTCTAATTCGATTCTCTTTTAATCTCAAAGCCAGTTGCGTTCACAATGAGTGCTCAGAAAGAATACCAAATTATAGCTTGTACAGTACAAGCAAATACAAAGGCTAAACACAGAGAAACACTGAGGCTCTTTGTTTCAACAAAGCACACCATACATAAAGCTTTACCACACCTCACACTTAGTTTAGCTATTTCGCATAAAAGCCCTTTTTATCAGAGTGTGCACCGCTTTGCTTTTGTATGGCACGCCACAGTAGATGGGCAAGAGTCCAACAGTGGATTACATTTCATAAATGTAAAAAACAGAGCCTTTTTTTTTTTTTGTTGCCTGGTCATTTCTCTTTCCAGCTGCAGACAAAACAACGCAGCACTCAGGTCAGACGGTTCACTGTCTCTCTGTCTGATCATCTCTCTCTCTGACTGTCTGTCTGATTTTCTGTCTCTCTCTCTGACTGGCTGTCTGACTTTCTGTCTCTCTGCCTGTTTTGTCTCTGTGTGCAGTTTGAGGGCTGCGCCAAAGCTTACTCTCGTCTGGAGAACCTTAAGACCCACCTCCGGTCCCACACAGGGGAGAAGCCGTATGTGTGTGAACACGAAGGCTGCAACAAGGCCTTCTCCAACGCCTCAGATCGGGCCAAGCACCAGAACCGCACACACTCGAATGAGGTTTGTTTACACACACACATTTATCAGCTCGATAACTATGATGTCTTGCATTTGCTCATCAGTCAGCTCTGTGTTTAAGTGTCCTTACAGGACATTTGAAAGTATTGTAAGAGAATTATCTGTACTAAGACTACTTGAAATTTTGTGCAAACATGATCTCAACCTTCCCAAAAATGTATTTGGCCTCAACCAGCTACTTATGACACATTTCACACAAATGTCCAGTAGAAAAAATTAATTATTAGTAGAGAAAGTGATTACATCATCTTTGACCCAAATGTAAAATGTTTTGGTCACTGTTTCCTTATACCTATATCTTCTTTGTGTGAATGCAATATCAGAGCTGAAGGGAATTTTACAACTCCAGGTTCATTAAAAAAAAATTCTGCCCCCTTAGTCAAAAGTGCTGATGACATATGTTTGCTGTATAATTTCAGTTGAACTGTGAATGTCTTTCTGCAGAAGCCGTATGTGTGTAAGATCCCGGGCTGTACCAAGCGCTACACTGACCCCAGCTCTCTAAGGAAGCACGTGAAGACGGTCCACGGACCTGAGGCCCACGTCACCAAGAAACAACGAAACGACGCTCCTCCGAGACAGCAGCCACCCAAAGGCAACGGAGAGAATGACACAAACTCCAAACTTGGTTCAAGAGGCCTGGACGGCAAGATAGAGGCCAACAGCACCTCTATAGGAGTGGAGGACTGCCTACAAGTGAAATCTATCAAAACTGAGAACTCAATGGTGAGTCCAGTTAACATATATTAAAAAAAAGACAGGGAAGCTTATGTTGCTGATCAAACGCTTCTTGCAGAGAATAGAGGCACCACTCTCCAAGACTTTCTAACTTACTTAACACAATACTAACAATGCTCTAATGTCAATTGATCACTGCTTGTACTGCCTGCTTCCTTCTTAACTCACCTCTCTGGTTATTGCTTGAACTTGCTTCTCTAAAGTTAACCTTCCTCATGGACAGACTTCACTGAGGTGAGCTTTTTAACACTTCCTGTCTCTGTTACAGCTCAGCATGGAAGATGTGCTCATTTGTTGATGTCGCAAAATTGCATTTATGCATGACGTAAAATTGCCTTTTTTGCATGATTGTCCTTTTTCACAAATTTAAAATGTGTTTCCCTTGGGAAATGGGACTTACACATATGCATGTATGGAGACACATCAGCGACCCACCAGCATTCATCTGGATTTTTCTACCAATAGTATCCATGGCAGCAGCTTCTTTTGTAACCAGTGATGAAAGCCATTGTCCTATTAATATTCAAAGGCTGGGACTGTTTTATTATTTGTGCTGAACAAATATTGAGAAAATCCAGTGCGTAGAAGACTTTAATTCATCTTTGCCAGTTGGTTTTAGCATCAACACTCTGCTTGATTGTCATTCACATCTATTATCCTCTTAGTTTCTTGTCTTAAATAAATCAAACTCATCTATAATAAATTATATTATGATACTCTAGTCCTCCATTAGTAATAACAAACACCATTACAATCCGAATTTTTTAACTTTGGTTATAAATAATATAAAAGAATATATTATGAAGTTGGTCAAGCTCAAGCTGGTTTTCTTTTCATCATTTTAATCTTTAAATTTGTTTTAGTTGTTCAGTTGTTTTACGACAATTTTTGTAGTTGTCAAATTATATATATATATATATAGTTCAAAGCATCAACAGCAGCAGCATCAAATTCCTCTCTGTTTTCTTCTGCCAGACATATCAGTCGAGTCCTGGCGGTCACTCTTCCTGTAGCAGTGAGCCGTCACCTCTCAGCAGTGCCAACAACAACGACAGCGGGGTAGAGATGGCGATGCACAGCGGGGGCAGCTTCGGGGACCTCAGTGCACAGGATGAATGTCACATGGTTGACTCCACTGTTCCCGTTGGGGGACAGCACACTGGCGTGGGGCTACAGATGAGGAAAGCCATGGGTCATGGTGGCGCTGTCACCATCAAGCTGGAGAACATCAAGAAGGAAAGGCTGAAGACAGTCAGGGAGTCCTGTCCCTGGGTCAACTCTGCACCACAGCCACCACAGGGCCAACGCAACAGTATGAAGCTGCCTCCCATACCTGCAGTCGGTAAGTGTGGATGGCTGAAAACATCTGTTTGTTGTAATTTTTACTGTGTGATGGGGGTAGAAAATTGCATCATGTGATCTAAATTATTTAGTGTCATAATGTGATATTTGTTCCTTCTTGCTGCCAGGTTCCCTGCTGGAAAGCTCCAACGTGATGAGTAATTCAAGCAATTTGTACCCTGGCCAGCGCATTGGCGACCTGTCTTCATGTGAAGTTACACTGCTGAACCAGCTAAATGAGCGCCGGGACAGCACCACCAGCACCATTAGCTCAGCCTACAACTTGAGTCGACGCTCATCCGGTATTTCACCGTGCTACTCCAGCCGTCGTTCCAGTGAGGCGTCCCAGTTTGGTGGCAACCGCCACAACAATATCAGTTCAGCTGACTCCTATGACCCAATCTCCACAGATCTGTCTCGCCGCTCCAGTGAGGCCAGTCATTGTGGAGGTGGTGGTGTCAGTGGTGGAGGTCTCCCAAGTATCCTTAGTTTGACACCAGCTCAGCATTATCGGCTCAAGGCTAAGTATGCTGCTGCCACTGGTGGAGCTCCGCCTACCCCTCT